TAATGAAACTTCGCATGGCGATTTTTCGACTAGATCGTCAGCCTTAAAATATTATATTTACAAGCGATTTAATTATAAGATTTAATTATAAAAATTAATTTAAAAATGTTTCGGTATCTCATTGGGTTAATGAGAGATACTATAATTTTTTTATATGATTATTTTAAAAATAAAGGATAAGTTTGATTTATAGAGTAGAACTCAGTAAAACTTTTTTTATGCAAAACACGCCTTCTTACGTTGAACTTTGCACTTTCAAAAATATTGTTACCAACTCTGTATACAATTCTGTTTTTGATTTGTTCCTGAGTAAAGTAAATCTTTATTCGAGTTTCACTTTATAATTATCTATACATAAAACATTTTGAACAATAATCAATAAATATTGAACATAACGTTTAATGTTATAATTTATTTATTTAATAACAAGTTTTTTCTACATTTTTATTTTTTAATAATTCAAACTATTTTTAATAATATTTTTTTTAATAATGAATTATGTACTTATTTTTGTAATTAGTAAATTTACAATTCTACAATTGTACAATTTCAAATAAGTAAAATATGCGTGTAATTATTTGTATATGAAGAGGGCGCTAGATACAAAAGTTCCTCTATATCATAATACAATATTTGGTGTATGAGTAAACATATTTCATTATGCATATATACTTAAGCCGTAATGTTGAAGAAAATGATTGTTATCTAATATTTCTGTAACAAAAAATCCGACACAAGAACTATTATTCTCGCAGTCGAATGGAAGAATCTGAGCTTTCTCCCTTTTCACGGAAACTTTTTCTTTGTTTGCCGAACATCGGCGCATGGAAACAAACAGAACTGACAGTAAAGCAACTAACATATAGAGAATCGAGGAGATTCCTATCAAAAGCTTTTTATTTAACCGCATACATCCTGCTGTCGTTCATACAGCGGTAATGTTTTACATATGAGAGAGGCCAATCAATATATGGAATATAAATGAATAACCTCATAAACCGAATAGATATCTATATGGGATTATATTGAAATGATTTGATGGCGTCTCAAGGTTACATTTAAACATCATTTTCGTTACTTGCATAACAATGCATTGGCTAGTCGGTTACATTATGTTGCAAGTTGTGAAAATGGAAAGAATATTACGTAAGACTGCATAATTCAGAAGAAAATTATCATCATATTTACAAACACACTCATAAGCACACACATAAATGTATAAATTACTTTTGTTTTGAGAACAAAATTTGTTCTATTATAGATGAACTATATGGTTCATTTAAAACTCACGTGATTATTTAACCTAATATTGTATAATTGCTATATTGGAATCTATTATTAAACTAAACTAATTTTTAAATAAATTCAGATGAAACAGAACGTCTGATTTAAATGACTTACAAATCTTGGATTGGCAGAATGAGGAATTGTTAAAATTTTTGTGGAGGCAGGATGAAAAATATTAAAAAATATATCTCTATTGATCAGAAATAATAACTAAAATACACATTCAATTATCAGATCTTTTATATACATTTTATTAGTAAGTACAAATTTTGTTTCAAATTCTAGAGTTCCGTACCAAGATTTGCTATGTTTTTTTAATAGTTCAACCAAATGTCCCTCGACTTGATTAGGTTTAAAAAAGTTATAATGTTATTTAAAAAAAAAATTAAAAATATAAAAAAATAAAACTTTCTAAACTATTTTTTCCAAAAATTTAAAATTTTTTTTTTAAATTTAAATTTTTGTCCAAATTTTTTGTTCTTTAAAAAACTCGATGCTTTCAACATTTTGAAAACAAAAAAAAATCACAAAAAAGTCTATATTTTGAACATTTTTAAGCTTTTAAAAATTGAAAAAAAAGGGTTGTGATAGTTCAATAAAAAATTCAAATAATTAAAAATGATTTAAATGTACCAATGTACCAATTAAATACTTTATTATCATGTGGAAAAACAGAATCATTTGCTCTGCTAATTTCTTTTTCTATGATTCACCAAAAATTCTCATAATTATCGGAATAGAGTCCCATATAAAACGTGCGATTTAAATCACAAGTGCAGACATTTACTTTGTTTAAATGTAGAGTTATCTTCAAAATAAACATATAACTTTCGAGAATGTGGAATATATTCCCAGAAAAGAGTTGTTATATACTAGGGCAATATCGAAGTAGAAGGGTGGTGACCGAAAACTTTTCCGCATTCATTTTGCGGAACATATCGTTTAACATATAGGAAGATAATACCATAACTTCGAACTCTGACCTCCGCCTTGAGAATAATATACTTATTGAATTTGTTATATATTACTGTTGCTAAACTCCCTAAATGATTTTGAATATTTATTAGTGTTTCTAAAATATAATACTATAACTAAATCTAATAAAATTTAGGAAAAAATGGGTTTCACATTTGAATCTGGAGAAATATTCGATGGCTCTATGATGTACCTATAGAGAATAACAAAAGAGTAATTAGTAGAGACATGGTAGTGAATATAGAGACAATATAAGAGACAATATATTAAGGCCAAAAATGTAATAAAAATTTATTACTGTTAATAAAAAACTAATATGGATAGTCAGATTTACCATATTTGTATATATTTAGAATGTAATAGCTCAATAATTAATATGTCAAATAAACAAAATATTTAAACAATCTTTGAATACATATATATCTTTGTATGATCTCGTTCACATATTTTCTCTCTTATAGTATTCTACGAATAATATCATTTAAAATTTTATAATATTGCTCGAATATTATAATTCAAAAGTATTCATGTGATATGCTTCATATAACTGCTCCAAAAGACACTTATAATAAACTCGATGAAATTATGTTTATTTTTGACAATAAAAGTAGAATTTATAACCATGCAGTTTATTACTTTAGATCTGCATTTTAATTATGATATCATAATTTTCATTCTGATATTTTACGATAAAATATATGCATTATCTAATTTTCATAGGTTTTTTATTGCATGCAAGATATCTATTAGTATATAACATGCATTAAGTATAGAAAATCTTTTCCCACAATTCTAAGTTTACTACATGATTATAGTTATCTAAAGTTTATATGTTTGCTTTGTAAAATAATTACTTAACCACAGCATCAAGGACTTTGTAAAACTTTCCAAACACATTACCAAAATGCATTAAAAATTTAAGATTGAAGTTTACATAAATATTGATAATGTGAATTTGTGGTTTCAAGTACATGGTACTAATCTTATTGGAAGTTTTCACAAGATAATTTGACAATCAACATTACTTTTATTTATTTTTTCACAGAAAATTTAAAATGCATTTCAAATTTTATTTTAATTATTTGTATCAAACTTATTATGAAATATTTACTTAGTACAGGACAACATATTGACGTCAAGCTAAAACAGGGTTATAGTATTGACCTTGGCTTTCCTAGTTAAGGTTTGCTAGGTCAATACTGTATATGTAAGGTAGGAAGAAAAAATTATGAAAAAAATCTCACTCTGGAAATTATGATATTATGTTTTAAGAGCAACCTATAGCAAATTAATAAAAGTTAACCACAATAACCGAAAAATGGTCATAACTTCACCAGAACTCTGGGTTGCACTCAATGTACATACGTGAAATAAACATTTTTTAAATAAACATCTGGCAATAAATTGATCATGAAGATCAATTTTAAATAAATGCAGATCTTCAATATTTCTGGTACTTTGTTTGTTTCTAAAGATTATTAATTATAAATTTAAGAAGAATAACAAGAGCTTTTTAGTTTCATTTTAATCACATGACAGATCAATACCACTTGTGTAAGGTTCAGTATGAAAATTTATTTTAATAATTTTTTGCGGTTTTATTGGTCCACAAAATACAAGCCCTAACACTTATACTACCGTCATACTATTATCTGAGAGTCCAATGAGTTTATTTTCATTCCTACCA